ATTATTCCAACAGTAATATTATAAAAATTGAAAAAAAATAAAATAATAATATATTACAAGAACTCAGACATCAGACCAACACATATTTGGGCTGAAATGTTTAAGGCTTGATTGTTTATGAAATAATTTGTTCAATTGAGTTATTTTTGGTTAATCATAGTTAATTTTGAAAAATGTGGTATGGTTAGTTGTAGTGGAATTTTAAGAATATACTCCCTCCTATTCATTATAAATGTCGTTTTGACTTTTTTGATTCATCCATTTTGTTATGTATCTAGACATATTTTGTTATGTATCTAGACATTAATATGTCTAGATACATAACAAAATGGATGAATCACAAAAGACAAAACGACATTTATAATGAACAGGAGGTAGTATTAAATAATACTACCTCCTATTTTAAATAGATGTCATTTTGGGATGTTGCACATCTATTAAGAATATTTTTTTTTGTCAATAATAACCTTATTTAATGAAGATAGAGATGAATGTTTTGAGAAAAAGATGAAGAGTAATTATGAAAAGACGTGATGTATTTATTAGCTAAATGAGGATAATAATGGAAAATTATGTACAAAAAATCCAAAACGACATTTATTTAGCAAATAGTTGATAAAGCTAAACTGACATTTAAAATAAAATGATTAAAGTTGATTTGATGTAAAAGTAAGAGATAAATGATTGAAAATGATTGAAAATGATAGATAGTTAAAATTATGTGAGTGGATAAATAGTTAATTAAAGTTTATGTGATGTATAAGAATGATTGGTTTGTATTATTTAATTATATCAATAAATTAAAGATAGTAGGATTTTGTTAAATTTGAGTTAAATTTTGAGTTGAAATAAAAGTGGGTAAATTAATTGGTAAACAAGCAAGCCCTTAACAAGCCCAACGTTTAATGGACCATGACTGGACCAGAAAAGGCCCACGTGACGAGGCTATCACCATAATGCCAACAGCCATTATAATACTGATACACGAGCTAAATAGCGAAGGGGAAGAACAAGGAATTAGTTCAGAGCATAAACCCTAATTAGAAGATGATAATTCCTGTTCGCTGCTTCACCTGTGGCAAGGTGCTCATCAATTTCATCTCGAAGCATGTGTCTTTATATTCATAGGAAAATACTACAGTTTCGTTACGGAACCATTTCGAATGGATTTGTAATCGTTAGACTATCGTGTAACCGCTAATTGATCTAACGGTTACAAACTCCGACGGAATGATTCCATAACGGATGGTGTTATCTCCCATGTTCATATTGATTCAATACTTCGATTGTTTTAAAATATGTTTTTTTTTCGTCTCTTTTTTTTTTTTTTGGGACTTGTCGACTGAAGAATCTATCTTTTATCTTTTTTTTTTCCCCAATTTGTTCAGGTGATTGGGAACAAATGGGACACTTATCTTGATTTGCTCCAGGCTGATTACAGTGAAGGGTGCGTATTTTATTTATGTGAAGTGGAATTATTGTGTATTTTGTGTGCCGCCAGTTATCTCTGAGCGAACCTTTTGTAAACCTAAGTAGAGTTACGCGTCGTTATGAACAGGTTTACGATTTTTAAAGCGGATGTCTTTTGTCGGGTTTAGCTCGGTTCAAATTCGTGGTTGATAGTAATAGATTTTGGAATTTGTTAAGCTTAGCTAGTGCCATACTTCTAGCAGGAGGAATTAGCAGAGTTGATGATGATTATAGGATGCTTAAAGTGGTAATTTCATGTTAAAATTAGGTGGGATGTCGTTGCTTATTCTTCCCGATTACTCTTATTTATTCACCTTACTATGATCTTTTGGGCTTTAGAAGGGACTTGGGGCATGCTTGGTAATTTTTGCTGAAAAGATAGCTTATATCTGATTCGTTACTGTAAAGCTAATAAATTGTTTCGAGCCAAAAACGGATAGCTAGCTAATGGCTGATGCTGAAAAGATATTTTTGAAAAAATGTTCATCTACCAAATGAGACCGAGTAGAATACAAGAAGACTTGAACCGTATAACTGCATAAAAGCATACTCTTGGTGAATTTTATGCAGGGAAGAAATGTAACTTTGGCATGTAACTTTGAAATAAATTCCAGGCGCATCTCTATTTTGGGAAAGATACAATGTTAAAGTTTTAGTGGGAGAGTAGTATTTTTCGTTATCTTTTTCAGAATAAATTTAGACTTCGATTAATTTTTTTTTCCTATTATTGTATAGGGATGCCCTTGATGCTCTGGGTTTGGTTCGTTATTGCTGTCGAAGAATGCTGATGACCCACGTTGATCTCATCGAGAAGCTTTTGAACTATAACAGTATTTCTCTCCCTCTCTTTTCCTTCACCAATATATATGTGTTTCTGTGTCGTATTTTCTATGATTGAGCAGTCCTTTCTTGTTGTGGAACACTTATTATTATCAGTAAATTTGAATTACCTGGGCTGTTAACTGTTTTACAATTCAGTTTCGGGTTATAAAACAGGGGCTAAGAAAATAAATCCTAGACAGTGTACTGTAATTAGTCGATTTGTTGTTTTACGCTCACGACACAGTGATTTGAACTCACTTGGATCCTTGTCTTTCCTTTTCTATTTCTATTTCCAGCTTTGGAGAAATCTGAGGGCAGTTGATGGTATGTGGAGAACATCAAAGATATATCTTAACAGGCTTCTCTTCGAAGATCATTGTATTCTGTAACTTTATGAAGTACTTTCTGAATTATGCTGCTACTTATGAAAAGACATCTGAATGAATGATCTCCGGCATTGGCTGTGGTGAATGTTTACTTACTATGTCGTGTACATGTTAAGTGTTCTGGTTCGTTTTTCCTCGATATATACTTATTCCCGAATAACTGGCTATTCAACTCGAATCCAAACTATCTACTCTATAGATTGTTCCTTTCTGATAAAAACCGTAAGTATATGCCATGGTGTTTAATTATCTCCATTTGTTTGGAATTTTACTAACTTGATCACAGAGCAAAACTAAATCACACTCCAATCACCAAAAATCACCTATTTTTATTTCCACCCTTAAATATGTACACTGTATCAGAAGACTTGAAAAAAAAAAAAAAAAAAAAAAAAAAAAAAAAAAGTATAACATTACATAGCAAAAACTAAATCACACACTTAATTTTTTACACTCTGATTTATTTATTACAGATTTTTGTGTACACATTTTTTTTTTTTTAAGTTTTAAGGTATTAGAACTCTTGATATAACTCGTGGCATTTCCCAAACAGGATCTGGCAATTGAAGGGCAGCAAAACCTCCAGCAGCAGCTGCAAATCCTCCTAAAATGAAGGCTGGTAAATTGCTACCTCCAAACAATGAGTCCAATGGTCCACTAATCAAAGTCACTCCCATCTGTTTTTTTTTTTTAAAAAAAAAAAAAAAATGCACTTTAGTCTCTGTGCCTGAGAATTAAACATGAAAATTTGAAAATCAAGAACTTACTTGTGGAATCACAATTGCAAGATTGAGAAGTCCTAAAGCCAGCCCTGTTAAATACTCCACAATTGTAAAATTACAGAGTTTGAATAACAGAAATTCTATGGAGACATCGAATGACTCCCTTACGGAGTCATTTATAATTTTATGTATTTGACACGTGTCCAAAATGTATTTATTGCAGGACACGTGTCAATACATCATTTGTGGATAACTGCGGATGGCTCCATAAGCCGAGCCATCCGATGGCTCCATAGCAAAACCGATTAGAATAATCCATGTTTTGCTAGGCTCTTTTTGTTTTTGTTTTTGTTTTTTTTTTCCTTTTTCCTTTTAATCAAGTACTTGCCTTGACCAGTTCCAGTGTCTTTGGAATATATTGAAGCTAGAGCAAATGGGACACTGTATGTAATCTGCAAAAAAAATTGTATCACCACAAAATTCAAGATTAGAACTCTCAACATTGCGGATTTTCCCAAATTCAAGATTTAACTTCTTAATCAGCACTCACCGCCTGCGGAATCCCGAAAATCGCAAAGAGCCCGTAACAGTAAGCCCTCACCTCCGGCGGTGGCGGCTCCAGCACCTCCGGCAAGCCCGAACCACCGCGCGCGTGGCTGGCCACCGCCGATATTACCACCGTGAGCGCCATGCAAGCCGTTAGCATGGAATTCCCGAGACTCCAAAGCCGCTTCACATTCCCCAAAACCCTTATCAACGGCTCCAAAAACAACGACACGAGCCCCATCGTGACCACGTGCAGCATCAGCCCTCTCGACCCAGCCCTCACCCCCATCCCGTACAGGCTGCGCTCCCCCGCACTCCCCCCCACGCTCCCCCCGTACACCTCCTTCCCCATCCAATCCGTGTCGTACAACAAGAACGGGAAAATCCCAACCCAATTGAACGCCGTCACCACATACAACACCCACATCGGCCTCGATGTGCTCCGAGCCGCGATCACGATCTGAGCAAAAAACGAGGGTGCCCGCTCGGAGTCATCTCCGGCGAGCTCGTCGAGGTAAAATGGGTCGAGCGGATCCTCCTTGACGAGGCCCACCACGGAGCCCGCGACGAGCCCGACGATCCCGACGTGCAAAACGAAGCAAGCCTTGATGTGCGCGCAACTCTCGTCGCATGCGTTGGTCGCTGCCGCGAACGGGAGGTGGTGGTGGAGGCCGCCGGCGGCCCCGGCGGCGTAACCGAGCACGTTTCCGACCGCCATGAAGAAGGCGAAGAGCCCGTTTCCGAGCGTCACGGCAGTGTTGTCGCCGCATGAGATGTCGGCGAGCAAGGCCCGTGTCGGGCCTTGGATCACATTGTTTGAGATGTCGAGCATCCAAAATCCAGCCAAGAATATGGCGCCGGCCGCCGGCCCTGGTCCAGGACCCGGCCCGGAGAGGTCGGCGGCGAAGGCGATGAGGAGAGAGCCGATGGAGAGGGAGGCGGCGCCGTAGATGATGAAGGGGCGGCGGCGGCCGAGGGAGGAGGTGCACCGGTCGGAGTAGTGGCCGACGATGACTTGGACGACCAGGCCCGAGACGGGCCCACAGAGCCAGACGAGGGAGGCCCATTTGTGGGACATGCCGAGGAGTTGGGAGTAAGGAGTGAGGAGGGCAAGTTGGAGGGCCCAACCGAATTGGAGGGCGGCGGCTATGGAGGCGACGAGGATGAGTTTGCGGAGGACGGGTGGGTTGGGGAAATGGGCCTCGGGAAAGCCCGGTGGTTGATTCGGTTCGTCGATCACGTCTAGGTAAACCATGATTAGTTGGGTTGTTTTTGTTGTTTGTTTTCGTTTGTCTCGTGCGCGAATTTAATTGGTAAAATTAGGATCGACCGATGAATTACTGCTATTGATTCGTGATTTTTTCGTGCGCTTGAGCTTGCGGTTTTGGTTTGCTGGCGTTTTTTTTCAGGGAATTTGTAACGTGAAAGGGTGGAGAATAATGGAGATGAAAGGAAATGTAGTCGAGTTTGGGTCGAACGACGGCCTCCCCGGTCGTGGGAGGTCGGTCGGCACGGAGAGAGTGTTGTACGTGCGACTAACGATTTTTCGAAGTGAATTTGTTTGTATTTTACTATTTACAGATTGAAATAACCTGAAGAAAAAAATGGAAGCTGGAGCTTTTTTTAGACAGGTTATTGAAGAGGAAATGGAAGAGATTGGAGATATGATATTACTAAATGGGAGTGGAGTAGAAAGATGGACCATCCATATTGTGAGGATAGAACGAAGAGTAAAGAGATGGATTTTCAACGTAATTCATGCTTGGCCAGTGAAAATTTTTGTTACTCTTTATGAGGTTTTGGCCAGTGAAAATTTTAAATAGTTCGCTATAGTGCCTTTTCTCCAAAAGCCGCAACGTAATTTTACATATTTAGCATTTTTCTCAAAAAGCTTACGCGAAATGCTGAAATAGGCACTTTTTACGCCATTTTACACTACTTTGTGTTATATTTCTGCAACGACATTTTAAACAATAAAATATTAAAAGAACTTGTATTTTTTAGGGATTAGAGTTATATTTTTAAATGACAACTAAAAACTAAAACTTTTTATAATTATTTCAAATTAAAAGTTTGAATGCAAAGACCTTAGTTGAATAATGTAATATATATCGGTACAAGTTCATTATATCATTATATTTTTTGGTATTTGACATTTAAATTAAAAATAAAAAATTCAGATCTAGTGGTTGGAATTATAATTTAATTAAATTAAAAAACTAATTACAATGTCTACGCTTAAAATAAAATATTGACTTATTTTATTATATTTTTGTTGTCTGTTTTTATTTTTTAATATATCCATTTTTTATTTATATATTTATATTATGATATTTACATTAGCATTTGTAAGAAATTAATCTTAGATGTTATTTTGAGTTCATTCAAATATTAATTTTTAAGTATTTTGATTTCATTCAAATATTATGACAATTATTAGAATCAACCATCCAATTTTATTATATGAAAGTGTATATATATATATATAATATTTTTATAAAGAATAAGTTTTTATACTCAAATAGCTTACGCAACACGCAACGCTATTTACACTACGCAGTATAAAGACCAAAACACGACGCATTACGCTATACACGTTTTAAAATACTATTACATATGACAATTGTAACGTGTCTATTGTGAGTTGGAAATTTTCGTACTTTTTCCAAAGTTTATCATGCACCTTAATTGTTAGACAGATCGACTTGTCATACTATTTTAACAAAAATGCATACTTATGCTCTTAAACCCAATACAAACCGTACGAATTTAGTATATATTTCAGTTTAAATCAATTTGCAAAAAAAAAAAAAAAAAAAAAAATTACTTCAATTGGAACCACTTTTCAGTTTTACAATTTAAGAGCATCTCCAATGGTATATTGTTCATTTTGAGATGTATAACATGGAGAACGAAAATTATAAAATTTTGTCTCCATTGATCAATGTCAACTTGGTATAATTTGACAAGTATAAGATTATAGTTGGTTGGTGTATATGTTAAAGAAATGGGACCTTAATGAATTGAAATGATACTATAAGCATTATGTTATAAAAAAACTAATTCCAATATTTATGCTAATATTTTTCCGATATATACTAACATTAGTAGTTTTTTAGCTTTTAAAAGTTATACTAATTCAATAAATAATTTTATATTGTTACACTAATATATAAGTAAGTTATTTATTAACACCTATAATTAAGATAAATATATCATTACACAATTATAAGCATATATGATTGTATATAATTAGTAATAAGTTAATCCAATTTATGAGCGAAAAAATATAAAATAAAGAAACTATTATAATTATACATTGGTTCAATTTATTTCGCTAGTGATGCTTTCGGCTACTGGACTTCGCCATCTAGGGTGCACAATTCACACTGCTTCGCCTAGCAGCACGACGCTTGTGTTGCTCTCCCACAACCCCGTTTTTCACGGTTTAGGCTGCTCCCATTTCGCTCTCAACTACTACGAGAATCGCTTTTGCTTTCTTTTCCTTTAGCTACTATGATGTTTCAGTTCCCAGGCTGTCTCTTGCTTTCCCATGGATTCAGCAACATTTTGAAAGGTTGTCCTATACGAGAATCTCCGGATCTATGCTTATTTTCAATTCCCCGAAGCATTTCGTCGATTACTACGCCCTTGCTCGTCTTTGGGTGCCTAGGTATCCACCGTATGTCTTTCTTCCTTTGAACCTCGCCCTTATTGCCCTTATTTATACTTAACTTAAAAATGTTATTAACTATTTATTTAAAATTAATTTTCTAAAATAAATAATTAAAAAATAATCATAACTTATATTATATATTTATTTCACATTGTTAGTTGTTTGTTTCAATTCTCCTTAGAATGGTGATTACTTTTTGTACGGCCATGTTTGGTAGACATATAAGCTAACTTATAGCTTATTTGGTTAACTTACAAGTTTCCTGTATTTAAGTAAACTTCGCTTGGTATGACGAGCTTTTTTAAAAAGCTCGAGCTTATATCATAAGTTTCTTTGGGTAGCTTTTCAAATAAGCTCGTTGAAATTTTTATTTCAGTTAGCTTATCAACTAATTTTACCAAACACTTTTATAGCTAGTCTTTCAGCTATAAGTTATAAGCTATATAAACTATAAGTTCAAAAATTACCGATAAACTGATGTAGGGAAGCGTACGAGTGAGATGATATTAATTAGATCGCAATCTCAAGAACACCAAAACAATAAATCAATTCATATTTCATTCAAAATCAACCACCTCAAATAAAAGATGGGGAGTCCTTTAAATAAGGCTTCTATATACCCTACTATTTGACTTGTCCACCAAGCCAAGATAAATAAATAAATTAATAATAACAATAATCAATGTTGCGGCTGCTCCTACTAATAATAATAATATTCTACACCATTCTCTTCCGGTTCGGAAATGCGCTTCGGTGACCGGCGTGTGATGTCTAATCCATGGTAAAAAAAACCCCGTTGTTTCCCTTGGTAGAACACGAAGGTTGAATCGCCAAACCAGTTCAACACTCTTGATCTTCATCAAACAGGGATACGACTAAAATTGTCTCAACATCATCAGCAACACATATCAAGACTCTTGCAGAGAAAGGCAATGTATCAATGCACCTTGGGCGTAGCTAAAAGCAAGCACATATGTCTTTAGGATCAAAACCCACAAAAAAAACGTGATACCACTTATTAGAAGAATCACAAGCAATAGATGTATCAATATGTGAATCTACATCAATTGATACCGATCCACTATAAATCTTGCAACCATCTTCATGCACGTAAACAACTGCATTCACATATATTCTCATGTCCCTGCAAAGATTTTTCTCCGTCACCGGAGGCTCTTCATTGATAATCGGCAGACCGTCGTACAATGGCCCGTCACCTTGCTCGTTGTCGAATTCGGGGATGTCAACGCAAAACGGGCTCTCCCATTGACCATATTCGCGATCAAGTCCCCAATCGTGTCGGGCACGATATCCGCAGGCGAAGGCAGTCTCCTAGCGCCTGTCTCTACCGTAACATTGATCGTCGTTGTCCACGAATACCGGACCCCATCTCCACATGTCACGGTTGTCGTATGCAGCGAAGGGGTCAGCGACGTGCGGAGGTTGCCACTCGCCGAAGGGATTCAACTC